TTAAAGGTAGACCTTCAATCTAATAACATATGTCCCATTAAGATACAGATTTCAGACAGAGACACAGGAGGCATGCCATGTGATGACAGAGGAAGAGTTTGGAGTAAGACATCTACAAGCTAAGGAATGCCAAGGATTCCTGGCAACACCAGAAGCTAGGAGTGGGGCATGGAAAGGATTTCCCTTCAGAGCCTCCGGAAGGTACTAACCCTGCAGACATCTTGATTTCATACTCTTCTAGAATGAGGAGAGAATGAATTTCTGTTGTTTAAGCCATCCGGTTTGTAAGAATTTGTTAAAACAGCCACAGGAAACGAACACACAAGGGTACAGCAGGAGTGCATCAAAAGTTTGAATGACCCCATCCTGGTGTTGCAACACCCTAGTCATGTGTGAAAGCATCCTTAGCCCCTCCAGGGCTCCAGGACAGTGTTTCACCACCTTTTGAAAACGAAGCCATGTTGATGAACAGAAGAACCTCAGTAGCAGTGCTGCATCCAGACCCTCCACCAAAACAAAACAAATCAAAGCAAAAACCTGAGAGTCGGAGCACTGGGAGAGAGTCAAGCCCATCCAGGAAGAATAGGAGCCTCCTCACTGTGGAGTCTGCTTCCATCTTTCCTGTGTGTGCCTGTGAGTGAGGCGCTGGGGAGGGGGCTCTGTGGACGGGGCGAGAGTGTGTTTTCCATTTTTAAGCCAGGATTCATGCTACAGAGTAAAGTCTCGCCTTGCTAGAGAAGGAAAATACCTTGACTACGTTCCAAAACACCGGAAGCAGTTAGACATCAACATGGCCCCTGGCACTTCTTAAAAAGTCACAGAATGCCTCCATCTGATGGTTCTTCAAGATTTTATTCATTCATAATATTATGTTCCATCAAAATGATCACTTTTTATTATCTTGCTGCTCTGAATTGTATCTTCCTTATTATTCTCAGCTACAGGGGCCATAAATTAAAATCATTCAGGATTTATACACTTACAGTTCATTATCTTTGATTGGTATCATCTTGCTGCCTTTTTCTGGCCCTTCTATACCTGACAAGAAATATTGCAACAGCATCTAAATACTCTCTGATCCATGAATATTGAGTTAGAAAACAAAATAGTGACCACATCATACTAAAGGCAACCCATCCCCGCTTCTCATCTTCACCACCAGCACCCTTTCTACCAAAATGACCGAGAAACTGAGACTCTAAAGCTCTGGGAGTTAGGATTGGAATATAGGACCCTGCTTGGCCATTGTGCTGAATGGACAGGTTGTTTTCTCTTCCTTTACCTTCACTTCTTTCCCTGAAGGTCAAGGGAGTTTATTACAGTGGGCTGCTTCATGAGGAACAATGCTACTTCAGGGAAAGCTAGTGGTGTAAAGAATTGACTAAAAAAGTGACGAGAGACCCACTCCTGAAAGCTCCAAACACCTCTCAGTGTCATTACTGAAGCAGTGGAGTTTCTGGGAGGGCTGGGAGGCTCATCTCCTTGTTTCCATGACTGATCCATGCTGTGTGAGTACAGACCCCTCCATTAGACCCCAGAAAAATTAGAAGTTTCTGACAGTGGTAAGCCTCTCTTAAGCTAAGTTTGGATGTGCCCGTTCATGAAAGAGCTTGGTAAAGGAGTCTGGTGTATCCACAGCAGCTTTTGCTATGGTTGTTCACACCTCCATCCTTAGTATTGCTAACTACTACCTGATGCTAACAGTGATGACTTTTCAGAGCAATGGAAGTTGACAACATTTACTTTAAATAAATGGATATTCCAATCCTGATTAATCTAATGGGAAAGTTTCATATTCAGTGTGTGCACTGACCCTTGGAATCCAGCTTCATAAAAACAAAAGGCATTGATATGTTTCCATGCTAAGGAATGCTGAGAAGTAAAAATTTATTTATTTTCTTCCTTGTCTCCTCTTCCCCTTCTTTTTTGTTTTCTCATAGTACTCAGTATAATGTGCTCATGTCAGCAATCACAGGTAGAAGAGGAGAAACAGGTCACCAAGTGAAATGCACAATGTATTGGCACTGTTTAAAAATTTTTTTAAAGCATAAACTTTCAAAGTTATAATGTGTGACTGCGTACCATCAGTGGAATTCACGAAGAACACAATTTCCACTTGTCCCTCTCTCTTGATCTCACTGAACTGTAATCACAGTTCCACTCCTGGAATATAAATTTTTAAAAAATCTGTAGTGACCAAAAATACTTGTTTCTAGAGGTTAAATGTTGGACTCTGGAGACAGTCCTAGGGGTGGCTGAATGGGAGTAAGTCTGAATGAAAGTAAGTCAACAGTATTACAAGCCCAGCTATGCCTCAGAATCACCCAAGAAACTTACGAGAAATAAAATAAAACAGACTTCCACGAAAATTGAAGCTGCAATGGGATACTGTATTTCATTCGCCAGACAGATAAAAAAATATAGTCTGGCAATAGCAGATACTGATGAGGATGTAAAGCCATGGGGAGGAATACCAATATATCACTAGTGGGAGTACAAATTGGTGCAACCACTTTGGAAAATAGACTGGCATTAACCAATGAAATGGAAGATGCACTGACCCTCTCACCCAGCAATTCCACTCTTAGTTACATGCTCTTGCAGCAATGGTCCCCAACGTTTTTGGCACCAAGGACTAGTTTCTTGGAAGACAATTTTTCCACAGATGGTTTTGGGATGAAAATGTTCCACCTCAGATCATCAGGCATTAGATTCTCATAAGCAGCACTCAACCTAGATCCCCTGCATGCACAGTCTGTGTGTGTGCGGAGTGCACAAGAAGATTCACGTTTCTATAAGAATCTAATGCAGCAGCTGATTGGACAGGAGGCGGAGCTCAGGCAGTAATGCTGGCTCACTTGCTACTCACCTCCAGCTATGCGTCCCGTTCCTAACAGGCCTTGGACAGGTACCAGTCTGCAGCCTGGGGGTTAGGGGTCCCTGTTCTAGATAAAATCTTGAACATGTGCACCAAGAGAGATGTACAAAAATGTTTACAATAGTGTTGATGGCAATAGCAAGAACCTGGAAATAATTCAAATGTTCAATGACAGTAGAAGAGATCAATTGTGTATTTTTATGCAAAGGATGAATATAGTACCAAAAGCAAATGAATCATAGCTACATCTATCAAAGTGAACAGATCAAAGACAGTATAATCCCATTTATATACAAGGCTGAAAACATGCAAACCTAGTCAATATGTTGTTTGGAGCTATATACATAGGTAGTATAGCCATGAAAAAGAGCAAATAAGTGATTCACACAACATGTAGGAGAGTGGTTACCTTGGAGGGTGAGGAAAAGTTTGTGATCTAGGTGGGATAGAGGAAACCCCAAAAAGACTGATAATGTTCAGATTCTTCAGCTTTTTGGCAGTGAGAATGCAAGTGTTGTTGGTTTTGTTGTAATCTCTAATCTATGCACGCATATTATATCCACTTTTTGCTAAATTTCCTAGTAAAAACGTAAAACACAGATACGTAGTCTCCATCTCAGATCTACTGAATCAGAATCTCAGGTTATGGGATCGAGGCAGTATTTTCCATAAGTTCTCCAGAAGAATTCTGATGTACTTTCTGGTTAAGAGCATTCACCTACACACACACACACACTACAATACCTACCAAAATCCAGATAAAAGCAGCTTAAAATATAAGTCAAGGTCAAGCAATCCCAAAAGAGTTATAAAAACAAAAAGTCAGCCCAGGAAAGTATCTAGAAAGGAAAGTCTCCTTTGGTTCTTTGATGACAAGGTAAAGGCTGAGGTGTAAGCCTGAGAGCATTAGTTGTTTTTGTGCCACCTCCAATCTCCCTCATCAGCTTACCTGAGACCTGACCTGCTAGACTCCCTAGTAGCATGAGCCTGAGATGATCTCTGTCAAGAACCTGGCCACAAAGCAAGCTCTGGTCCTGGTCTTGCTACAAAGACGAAGCATGATGTGGTGGAAAGTACCCTTGTCTAGGACTCATCACAGCAGGTATTTAGACCCAGACTCACATGTACATGTTGTGTGATGTTGGGCAAGTCACTCATCCTCTCTGAGCACTAGTTTTCTTCTCTGCCCTGCCTCTCTCATTGACATCCAATGAGATAGTGTAGGTGGGAATGCTTTGCAAACTGAAAAAACTACCCTGAATGTCCAATAAGCCCATTGCCATTTCAGTTATTACTTCTTCCTAAAAGCCAGGAACATAGGCTTTCAACTCTGAGTCAGTAGAGTTTTCTGGGTTCAAGACATTGGGAGCCCTAAGATTGGCTTCGTGAGACATAAAACTAGACCAGGGCTTACTGCCTCCATATCTCTCTCCAAGAAACTCAGCACAATTTAACAACTGCCCACTACTTTCCTCTGAGCCTACCTTTCCTAGGCCCTGATAATAAAGAAGAGGACATTCATAAACAGCTCAGGGCCACAGAAAGCATCACACCAAGCAAACATGTCACTTGAGTATTTATGAACGGCTTTGAAACAAACATTTAAGCCAGTTCTACAATACCTTCCAAATTAGGATTGCCAGATTTGGCAGTAAAAATAAAAATGCAGGACACTCAATTACATTTGAATTGTTTTGTATAATTGGAATAGTTTTTAGTTTAAGTGTGTTCCAACTATTGCATGAGAAACACTTATACTAAAAAATCATTTGCTGTTCATCTGAAATTCAAATTTAATGAGGTATCTTGTATTTTATCTGGCAACCCCATTTCAAATACCGATCAGCACTTTCTCTTACAGGGAAATCTGCATGGAGGAGAGTTATGAAACCCTACTTTTATTACTTGTTAAAGAATAAAGGGTTGGGCTGAACTCGAGATGGGACTTGTCTTCCTCCCTTCCTTGCATGGCCAAAGAAGCCATGGAAAGGCACAGATATTAAAAGCAGGTTTCAAAGGAAATAGAGCAGAACAGGGGTGAAGCCTCATCAGTTCAAACAGAAACAGGCATTCCAGCCTGGCCCTGACCCACCCACGACATCACCAGTGGTCTCTCCCTTACCTCTGGGCATCTCCTTAGAACGCTCTGCCTCAGGCCCATCCAGCAAGTCCATCTGGGAGGCCTCCTCGGAGGGAACACGGCGCCAGGACCAGCTCTGGTTCCTGAGGTCGTGCAGTGGAGGGGAATATTCCAGCTCACAGGGGAAGTCAAAGCTGCACTCCAGACCTGCAATAAGAGCCAAGGATCAGTGGAACAAACCATTTCCCAAATGTGGCCTTTCAGCCCCCTCCACTCCACACTAGGAGGCTGGCCTTCATCTCCTCCACACCCTTTGCCCTGTCCAGGGGAGATCAGTTGTCAATACCACAGGCCTCTGTATTGGTGAAAAGGGGCCTAAGAGAATAAAATGCGCCCTTTCTGTAACTCACATTATGGGAGATGTTCTCAGAGAAGGCAGGTAAAAAGCAGAGCTAACTAACAGGTTGAATGGTGGGAAGCTCTGCATCTTGTGAAGTTACCTGAAGACACAGAAAGGGCCTGAGGGTGAGTGGGCAGAGGCTGCCCAAGCAACACACGAGGCCTGAGTCCAACTCTGGCACTGCTTTTACCAGCCCGGTGACTCCAAGCAAGAAAACTCACCTCTCTGTCCCTTAATTCCCTCACCTGTACATTGGGCTGATAATTACCACTCAAGTTGGCCGTAAGAACTGGTGGTAAAACACACTCTCTACAAATATCTAATGTATGCGGGGCTTACAACCTAGATGATGGGTCAGAGTGAACAGGCAACCTACAGAATGGGAGAAAATGTTTGCAATCTATCCAACTGACAAAGGGCTAATATCTAGAATCTACAAAGAGCTTAAACAAATTTACAAGAAAAACAAACAAACAACCCCATCAAAAAGTGGGCAAAGGATACGAAGAGACATTTCTCAAAAGAAGAGTTATGTGGCCAACAAACATATGAAAAAAAGCTCATCATCACGGGTCATTAGAGAAATGCAAATCAAAACCACAATGAGATACCATCTCACACCAGTTAGAATGGTGATCATTAAAAAGGAAACAACAGATGCTGGTGAGGCTGTGGAGAAATAGAAATAGAAACACTTTTACACTGTTGGTAGGACTGTACATTAGTTCAACCATTGTGGAAGACAGGGTGGCGATTCCTCAAGGATCTAGAACCAGAAATACCATTTGACCCAGCAATCCCATTACTGGGTATATACCCAAAGGTTTATAAATTATTCTACTATACAGGCACATGCCTATATATGTTTATTACAGCACTGTTCACAATAGCAAAGACTTGGAACCAACCCAAAAGGCCATCAATGATAGACTGGATAAAGAAAATGTGGCAAATGTATACCATGGAATATTATGCAGCCATAAAAAATGATGAGTTCATGTCCTTTGCAGGGACATGGATGCAGCTGGAAACCATCATTCTCAGCAAACTAACACAGGAACAGAAAACCAAGCACCGCATGTTCTCACTCATAAGTGGGAGGTGAAAAATGAGAACATGTGGACACAGGGAGAGAAACATCACACACCAGGGCCTGTCGGGGGGTGGGGGTATAGGGGAGGGATAGCATTAGGAGAAATACCTAATGTAGATGACAGCTTGATGGGTGCAGCAAACCACCATGGCACATGTATACCTATGTAACGAACCTGCACGTTCTGCACATGTATCCCAGAACTTAAAGTATTAAAAAAAAAAAAAAAAAAAAAAAAAAAAAAAAAAAAAACTCCACATGGCCTGGGAACTTCAGGACGTTTTGCAGAGGAAGATAAGGCCTGCACAAAACCAGAGCAAACCAGAACCAGGGGCCCTGTCACCTTTAGATCATTAGCATATCATTATAATGCAAAAGTTCCCACCCATAGAAGAGAATCGCTGCCACTTTCTGCACACGTGTCATATGAAGAGCATGTTCTTGATCTGCATCTGCGTGTCTGCAGTTTTTCCCCACACAAGCTTACATAGCCTCTGACCCACATCTAACCCTGTAACATTCCCCAGCTTCCCACTGCTCTGGGAGAAGCTGTCTTTAGAGCAAGTGCTCTCTCCTTTTCCATGCCTGACCAGAAATACAACCTGCTTGCCGTTTTCCGTAAAAAAAGAAAAAAGAAAAAAATGCATAAATTAAAAAAATTTAAAACCTTAGGTGATGGGTTGATAGGTGCAGCAAACCACCATGGCACACATATACCTACGTAACAAATCTACATGTTCTGCGCTTGTACCCCAGAACTTAAAGTAAAATTAAAAAAAAAAAAAAAAATGTACTGCCTATGAAAAAATGGACCTGGTCCATATTGGATGCTCTGAAAAATGCTAGCCAGACCCTGTCCTTTCTGATTGATAAGAGAAAGGCCACAGGGAACTGGAGTTTCCTCATAGCCTGCTTTGCCAGCCCTATAATCTACCCTTCAATCTCCTGTCCAGAGAAGAGGGCCAAGGCGATGACAGTGAATCAGGGTTTATTTTCTCTTGGGGAGTGATTGGGGAGGGTCCCTGGGTAAGGAGAGAGAGAAAAGGGAGGCAGGAAGGGCCCATGCCCTGGGATGTTTTGTACTATGTTGAGCTTCCCTAGGCAGACTCTTTCTGTCCAATGATTCCACATTTGCCCCACTTTTAGGGTACATGAGCCACTCAGCTTTTCTTCCCCTTCCTTGTTCATTGTCTACTCTCCAAAGTGGCTGAAGAACCTTGCACATGGTGGGCTCTCAAAGCTGACTTACGGATTAATGGAAGATGCCAAGACACAAAATGTTCAACCATCTCTTACTTCATCCTCTCCCCAAAGCCATGGGAATAAGAAAAAAAGGGATAATGTGATAGATATTGGACAGACAATCTGAGGAATTCAGTTTGAGTCCAGGCTTGTCCAGTTACCTCTCATGTGTGAACTTTGGTTTTCTCATCTGCAAGACAAAGGGCTTACAGACTAGAAGATTCCAGGAACAAGCACCTCGTGAAACCTGGGCTGCAACTCCATCTCTGCCACTGATTTGCTGGTGACCTTGAATAAGTCACTTAACCTCTCTGGGCCTCAAGTTCCTCAAATATAAAATCTAGACCAGATATTTTCTAAAGTTCCCATTTGATTTGGCTTTTTAAACATTCCAAAGTCCATGGCCTCAGAAGAGTTATAATAGCTATTTTGATAATTCAATCTTTGTGACAGTGCTAATGGGTGCTACGTCCCAATTAGCATTTGTGCATTTTAACAGCTGCTTCTGAGGCTACTACTACCCCAATCTCCAAGACAAGTCTGGTGTTGGAAATTTCAGAATACAGTGGGGGCAGATTCTAAGGCAGGCAGCTGGTCACTGGATTGTCTTCCAATGGGTGTCCACACCCATAGACAGCTGGCCCTGCTGCAGAGTTGGGAGCAAAATATTCATGTTAACACTAAGCAAACTATTTAAGCATAGGAGAAAAGAAAAAAAAAATCCTTCAATTACACTTCTATTGAGTGTCTTTCTGCTCCTCAGCTGCTTTCCAGGAGCTGCCATCCTTCTGGCCTTAAGGTTAATATTCCTTGCCCTTTCACGATTCAGACAACTTGCCTTCATAGTGGCAAGCTGAAATGGGTAGCTCTCACTTTGGGTTCATAGGCCACTTGCTCTACAGTTGGTGTCCCGGAACCACAGGCTGCCTTCATCTTCAAGATGTATTTGAAGACACCTGGTTTTCATAGCAGACTACAAAGAGAAAACTGGTCCAACATTTTGTACTTTGCAACACCAAAGTGACATAGGAAGGATTAGCTATGCAACATGACTAATAAGGAGAGGCGTAGCCATGAAATGTAACTCCTCTGGGGAGGGTCAAAAAGACACATCCACATTGGTGGATGTTCACGTCAGAGGAAGGGAGAGAAAGCCCCCAGCGACTCCCATCCCACATTAACAATTATCAGTGCCTTTCCCAAAGATTCAACTTCTGCAGCCATCCTCTATCTCGATTTTTCTCCTCCAATGAAAGATGACCTATGTCTATTCAAGACAGAGGTGAGGTGTGCCAACTGTCTGAGCTGTGTCCTGCCTGACAAATGTGCCCTACATGTGTATTCAACAAACGGACAGTGGAATATACAGTCCCAGCACCAAGCATATTAATTCTGGGATCTTTGAACGCTGGAGAGTTTAAGTGTGATAACTGGCTGTGTTTGGGCCAGATCCTGCCTAGTAAAACAGGCTATGCAAATGTACCGATTATCAAATGAGTTCCTTCTGTAATTCTCAGTCCGCAGTAACCTCCTTTTAGCTGTTAAAGCTGTACTTTCTAGCTTTAAATAGGAATGGAGTTAATATTACTACTCATTTGGGTGAAACTGAATTGGGCTTTTCTACATTCTGATTTAATTTCTTATAAAACATGGACACAGGTTTTTCTCTCTCAAACTAGCCTCAGTGCCTCTTGGGCAATAATACTTTGGGACTTGTCTAAAACACCAGGTTAAGTCTTATTTTCCTTGGGTCTTTTCCGAGGTTCTAGACCTAGTGTGCTTCTTGAATGTCTCTCCTTCACCCTCTTCCGACTCAGTGCCTGTTAAGTAGAGACTGTAGAATCTACTTTACAGGAGGGATTCAGAGGGGTCTAGGGCTTCAGCACAGTGCTGAACCTTAAGCAACCCAACCACAGAGGCAGGTCCACACCCACCCAGGGGTAAGGGTGGGAAACTATATTCACTCAGCCCCTCCTGGCAGTCTTCCAGGCACTGTCCTTGGTGTTTTCCTTCCATCACTGTACCTCATCTTCAGAACAACACTGAGAAGTGGTTGGTTTCTTCTTCTCTCTATAGGTGAGGAAGCTGAGGCATAAAAAGTTTTCTTGCCCCCATATCAAAGGACTACCCCAAGGCAGACCCAGAGAGTGACCTAGAACTGGATAATGCGGAATATCCAGTGTTGTTCGTCTCTCCCCCCTAGTTTCAGAATCTCAATTTAGCGCTGAAGATTAAATTACACAATAGATGAGAAACCTATGAAGTGTTTTATCTTGGTTATTCTCAGACCCAAAGCCTGCAAACTTTTCTTTTTTTTTTTTTTTTTTTTTTTTTTGAGACGGAGTCTCGCTCTGTTGCCCAGGCTGGAGTGCAGTGGCACAATCTCGGCTCACTGCAAGCTCCGCCTCCCGGGTTCACACCATTCTCCTGCCTCAGCCTCCCGAGTAGCTGGGACTACAGGCGCCCGCCACT